GGCTGGTGGAAGGCCCCTGACGCAGGGTTTCCAGTCTGGGTTCTTATAAAAGGGGGGGCCCGGGCTGTGAGTAGCGGGGGCTTGGAGGTGACAGTGCCATCTCAGGGGTCCGGGATGAGGACGGAGGAGGGAGAGCGGCAGGGAGGGGAGACAAGGGCTCGGCAGTGCGTGACCGAGCCGGCTGTCCAGGAGACGTGCTGGGCCGCAGGGGCACCTTGGGAGGACCGCGGGGACCAGCTCCTCTAGCCTTCAAAGTGCACCCCAATTCTGGGCACTGGGCCTTTAGGGTGTGCGCCTGGCCTCAGGGCAGCTGTGGGTCCCCACCTACGCTGGTCGAGCACACGGGAGGCATGGACTCCACGCTGCTCCGTCCCGTCCGATGCACCCCTGACCTCCCTCAGGACGGAGCCCTGGCCTGGCTCAGCCTTGGGCTCTGGGAGAAGGGAAGTCTGGAGAATTCTGGGTGGGGGGGGGCCGCTCGGAAAGGGGCCCTGCTGTGGGGTTTGAGAGCTTGGGAATTAGGGCCTGTGACTCGGGGGTGCGGCGGGGCCCTGTGTCACCGTCTTCTCGGTGCTGTTACTGTGACAGGCGGCTGGAGAAGCACTGAGTCAAGGGGCGGTTTGCAAGAGCCTGGAAAGGAACAGTGCAGTCAGCACCCGGGCGCAGGGGACACGGAGGGTGGGGAGCCACCGCCGCAAAGGGCTAACTGGGGGGTCAGTCACCGGGACCCAGAAAGGGAACACCGGTCAGGGCGGGCAATGACCAGAGCCCCCGAGGTGGCCCGGCAGCGAGCAGCGGGAGGACAGAGGGCGCGGGCGTCCCCACCCGTCCGCATCCGGGGCAGGAGGAGGCGCTTAGGCCATCGCCCTTGTCACACCCTCCGCCAAGGTGACCCCAACCTGGCTCTGGTTGCTGTCCTGTGCTGAGTTCGTACTGAGGTGAATTCACAGGACAGAAACAGATCATCTTGAAGGGCACGGCTCGGTGGCATTTCGTGCAGTCACGATGTCCCGTGATTGCCACCTCTGGCTTGAGCTCTCTCATTGCCCCAGGATGCCGGCTCATACCGTTCGGCAGGCACCAGCAGTGACATTGCCTCCCTGGGGCTCCCGGCCTGTGAGTCCCCCAAAACGCGCCCCTCGCCCCGCCACTAAGAGTTCCCAGGTGGGACATGTATCAGCGTCCTGGTCAGTGCGACGTCGCCGGCCGTCTACGAGCCTGTCAGAGTCCTGTTTTCCCCGCACAGGGAGCTGGGCCATCGACGCCCACCCGTAGGAGCACGGTGCCCATCGACTGCGAGCCACCGAGAGAGGGTGCCAGTGGTCACCCTGCCAGCGTCGGGGACAGCGTTCTCAATGGCGGTCCACACGGAGGGGGCACAGCAACTGCTGGACGGTCGCAGACGGGCGGGAGCCCCTGCCGCGGCCGAGCACCCCGGTAACATATG